CATTCTCGGGGTACATTTCAGGGTCGAGACTCATTTTCAGGAAGTCTTAACTCTGGGATTTGGGACTACTGAGAAGCAGGTTACTCACTCAATGACTCATTAAACTGCACAGTATGAAAAACAAGCTCAGCTGAGGACTTGAATTAACCTTCAAACCTACACTAGAGACCACCCTGCGAGAACATTTTACAAACAGGTAACTATCTAATTGCATAAAGAAGGTCCAGGCTTCAAGACAGACGGAGCTCAGTATGTTACTTACAGCTGGCATCTCCTTCCAGGCCCAGGATCTTCCGGTACCCTCCATGCGAAAGGATCCGGACCAGAGTCTGAGCCGTGAAGCACACCGTGTCCTGCAGGTGGACAGTGAGTCAGGGCAGCACTGCTGCTAGCATGATTTTGATGGTAATGAATTTGAGCAATTCAGGGCCAGCAGGCTCAAGACTCAACTAGGTACACAGTAGGTACACAGAACAAATGTGTGCACGCACGCACGCACGCGCACACACACACACACACACACACACACACACACACATAAACAAAAGAAAACAAGCTTTTGCACACGCTGGGCCTGCTGTTCCCACACACTGAAATAAAACAGCAGTACCTGACAATCACAGCTACAATTTTCTCACGCTCTCAAAATTCAAGGAATTCACCATGTGGGCACAGATTGTGGGCAGAGACTGTGGGCCCAGAGGAGGAGCTGATGTGGGGCTTAGAAGGCCATGTCGTCCACCAGCTCGCCAGAGATGCAGAGGTTAACCTTAACAGACGGCAGCTCTGGGGCAGCAAGCCTCACCGCTGTGGATCATTTACAGGACAGCAGGGGAGATGCTACAAGCGTGGGTAACGGAATGCCATCTGGACTGTGCCAGGAAGAGATCATCCCAACCCAACCATTCATCAACGAGCACTGACAGACATACATCTTGGAACAGACAAGCACTGTCAACTAAAACCATGGAGGTATAATAGCCTCACATTTGATTATGTGCTCAGGTGCAAATGGCACCCTCTAGTGACAGAGTGAAACATTCAATACAAAGTTACAAGTTTTACAATAAAATCACTGCACATAATAATAATTTTTTTTTTACATATTTTGCTCAATAAATACATCTGTTTTAGTCAAACTTGCTCAATTTTGTTAGGCAAGTTCCATATTGCAAGACTCCTGACATTCGGAAATTAAGCTCGAAGACTGCATGCAGAATTGATGCAAAAGCATCGGCACTAAACTTCAAACTGATTTTTACACATATACTAGATAATTCTGAGAAGAAACAATCATTAACATTGCAAAGCTTGATAAGTTTCGTTCACTGTGACAGAGTACAAATGTTTTAACGAAACTTAGCCCCCCCCGCCCCCCCATCCTCGCAACATAAGGTCTGCACAGTATCAAGGTATGAAAAAACCTGATCTCAATCCAGCTGACCACCACAATCCTCGTGATGTGAGAAACGGATGTGCATAAGTGATGTCAATATTAGTATCACATCTCCCAGCCCTATTTCCCAGACTGCCCTCCCATGCAACTACAGCCAGCATCCATCGGCACCAGCTTCAAACACATCAGGTGGGCTATATGTCTAAAGTTTTTATATGTCTAATGTTCAGGGAGATCATGCCCTGTAAGGAGCCACAGCTGACGCGTTGCAGCTCCAGAATCTGAAACTGCAATCTAAATCAGGCTTACAAGCATTTGCAAAAAAAATAAAAATCACTTACATCGTGTTGTTGCATATGAAGTTACTATAACCTTTAAATGGTAGTTTAAAAATACAGTTTCCATTATTGTATTACCCTACAAGTCAAAATTCAATCTGCTGGCAACATTAAGAGATGCCTCTCATTTCATTTCCCTAGACTTAGACTTCATTATGTAACAGTGTTTTAAATAAGTTAAACAAAGTTGGTTAGCCAGCCTGGTGGTTCTAATTATACACAATGTTGCAGTAATTGTGCAGTCTGTACTTTATCACACAGCACTCCCAGACAGCTCAATTAATACAATACTGCCGGGGTAGGAACTGTTTTTTAAAGCCACAGCATCTTTCCATCATCTGACATCTGAACTACAGTGTCACTAACTGATTAGAGACAAACATTTTTCCATCTTCTGTTCGGCCGGGGTTGCGGACGAAGGCGGAGCCACCAAGGGAGAGATGCTAGTCTTATTAGGAACACGCACACACACACACACACACACACACACACACACACACGCACACACACACACACACACACACACACACACACAGGTACTTTAGAGACACCAATTCACCCAAACTGATAGAGACTGTAGCACCCAGTGGAATTCCAGCAGCATGGAGAGACCATGCAAAATGTACACATGGTTGGTAAATCACATACAATATAGGGCAACAGCACCACCAAAAATGTGTCGCCATGACGCCCACAAAGTTTTACAATACTTAAGATACACAGAAAACAATGATGTGCAACTTACTTTGAGAAGAGTCTGTACCAACCCTGCTTGGTTGACTGAAAACCAAGCGATTTTAATTACCATGAGCTACCACAACGACCGTACCTGCTGCTCCAGCGTCATGACTGTGTGCACCCGGAAGTTTCCGCTCTCACAGGGGTCGGTGATGCCCACGGAGCCGGGCAGGAAGAGCCCTGCAGCCAGCATCTGTAAGCAGCGCCTACAGCAGCACACGGGGCAAAGCGCGCCCACAGCGCGCCCAAAGCCGTCAGCTACGCAATCACACTGCACGCAGGGAGCATGAAAACATTAAACGGCGGTAGGATCACTACCCATCAAAATACATCTACTACTTAGCAGACTTTCGCCTGAGGCGAAATTACAAACCTAGTTAAATGCTCTGGTATAGTGTAAGCAGTATTGGAGCAAGAACCACGAAACCTATTAAGACGACGGTTCAAATCAGCAGACGAGATGCATGTCAGGAGAGATGAAGCCGGCAGGCCAGATTCATAGCCAACAAGCCAAAGCTTGTTAGTATCAATGCAGTAACAAACCGGGGGGGGGGGGTTACTGAGGAGGTGGGCCTGAGATGCAGCTGACCTGTAAGCCACATTCAGGGGCAGGGGCTGTCTGGAGGGGTTGTTCATCACTGCAGAATGACCCTGAGGGGGAGGAGAGACAGAGTGATCTATTAGACAAACACATGGAGCCCTTTATACAGATTCAATGGCGCTACAGATTTCCAGGCTTGGTATAATTAACGGTGTTCATCAGTTAAGTACTTCAGACCAAATGAATCGTGATTAAGCACCATCTGGCCCAATTGCATTGGCCTAGAGAGAGCAATACATGGCACTCTCACACATGCTGTTACGTCTTTGTGCCTCCGATCGCGGGTTCAAGCCCTGGCCTGGGCAAAACAGTCCCATCTCCACTGGGCCCTTGAGCAAGGCCCTTAAACCCCCCCCACAATGCTCCAGGGGGCGCCAAATAAACATCTGGCCCTGTGCTCAGAACCAAAGCTTTACTCTCAGCTGCATGTGTGTGTGTTTCAAAAGAGAGCATGATGGGATATATGCAAAGAAGCATTTTAATGTAGCAAATAAAACATTGTTTTTTTACAACAGGCTCACCAGCAGATCCAGGATCCATGGAGTCAGGGGCTCGAAACCAGGGAATCGCACCCTCAGATCCTTTAGCAGACGGATTAAGACCTTTACCCTAATAAAGAGAATGAGAAGCACAGTTAAATCTATGCTAAAGAGCTAGTTAAACGCATTGCTTCCCTCCATCACTGTTACCAGATTTCACTGCACAGCCGCACAAGCAGATGCAGTTCCACTGCTCATTTCCAGACTGAAACTATTCCTTAGGTCTCCTTCAAAAAGATGAAGGCTTACGTGGAGTGGGAGGCGTTCTCCTCGAACCAGCGAGCGTGGCGGATGGCGGCCAGGGCACTCTGCAGCACCTTGATATCCACTGTCGGGAAAGGGACACACTCACTGCACCATCACACCCCAAATCCACACGGACGGCGCAGTGAGAGCGCCAGCGCGTGCCAACGGGCGGCGAGGCCCCGCCGCTCAGACGCCCTGAGGGAGACACCCCCCTACGTACGGTGCAGCTCGGGGTCCAGCTTGCGCAGGTTAGGCGGCACGGTGGTAATGAGGATTTTCACCGTGGCGTCGGCAGAGCTGATCTCGAAGCCCGTCTCATTGGTCAGCATGGAGAGCACTGGGTACACAGTCGAGAACCTCACTTTACCACACTTGTCCGCCACATCGTCTCTCTGACACACTAAATCCCAACAGTACTGCGCAAAAGTTTCAGGAAGCAGAGAAAATGACGTTTAAATGACCTTCATGTTGGTATCAGACTAGCCTACCCACTTCAAAAATACTCCTGAAGTCATCCCCGTATTTGAAGCAACCACCCAGTACCCCAGAGTATTTTTCCACAGGCACATTAGCACACAGCACTTGGTTAATACATATACCATTGAGTTAAGTAATTGAATTAATTAAAGGAGCTGGTAGTGAGAATTAAAGACACATGGCACGACTGGGGTGCCCCTGAGCAGAGGTTTGGGAACTGTAGTGTTCTTCTATCCATCTAGATTATCAGTATTTTTTTGGGAGAAATTCTTCTGTTTTTGTCTCACTTAAAACATTTTCTTTGACTGCCTAATTACCAGAGCCTAGTTACAGCTCACTCCCTTCCCGGGTTTGGAGAGTAACAGTGATGTTCACTCTGTGATTTACCATCTGCATCTTTATTTTTTTTTTTTTTACTGTGTGCTAATTTCTGCTAGCACATCTGTGAAAATCGCCATCTTTTCTTAGCATCAAATGCTAGCAGAATTAATACTTGCTCATGTAAATTTGCATCATAAATCCATTCCGTTTAGCTTTTCTATAGTACTTTTTTTTTTTTTTAAGTAGGTGGTCGGAAATTTTCAAGTTCCAAGTTATCGGGAATGCACTGCGATACTACTACTAATAATATATAGAATATCGTTTTTTTTTTTTTACCTTCAGATAATCCATGTATATCGACGCAGAACACCAGTATTTCAACCAATCAGATGTTGGTGACGCGACCGGCTGAGTCTGGTCATGCTTTTGGCCCAGCAAGAAAGCAGGACCATATCAGCGCAGGTAGAGCTTGGGTACGACTCGCATGCTTTACTATGGAAAACTGCCAGTTAGCGGTATAGTTCGGCTACGGCTCAGTTCTCGGTGGCAGTGCCAAACCCCAAAGTAACGAGCTGTGTGACGACAGACATCAACCTTCTACCCGTGGATGGAGAGCAGTAAGGTTGCTACACACCTTCTGAGGGGTCCTGGGTGCGAAGGGTCTCCACAACCTTGTTTCCCAGAGCAGCAACAGCCTCCACTTACAGACGGAAAAAAAAGTCGACACAGTAAATATCGGTTATTTACGCCTCACGATTACCCTAATTCACATATAACATCCCCAGAGCAATGGCAGTAAACATCAGGAACAGATGGGATTGTATACCCTGCTAGGCAAAAGAAAAAGAGCCGAAAACTATTTATCGCATGTTTTATGATTACTTTTCTTGTTTAGCAAATACAGGTGAAATAAATAATAATGTTTTCGCATTATTGTATGCATTGTCTGTAGCCAGCGTACAGTTTAGAAGGGGATGGCTTTGGCCTTGTTTTTGTCAATTGGGCAAACTGTCTTACAGCCTTTCACACTGTGCTGCGTCTGTGCTGTTCCATTCATGTCTGATTGAAGTCTGAGGATATCCAGATTGCACTGTCTACAATTCAGAGAATTGGTCGCACATTTCAAGTGACAGGGTCTGTGGCACAGAAAGCAGGTCCTGGAAAACCTAAAGTGACAAGTTGAGACGACAGAAGGCTGAAAATGACTATTCTGAAAAATCGTAAGAAGCTTCTCACAAAATTAGCACAGGAATTCAGAAATGTGCAACGTGAAGCTGATTCACGAAGAGGGATTACAAGATGGCTCAAGGAAGCTGGTTCTTCATCAAAAAGCTGTGCAAGGAAGCCATTGCTTTCCACAAAGAATGTTGCACAGACTCAAATTTTTGGCACTTTATGATCACCATGATTCTCAGTGGTTTTAGCATGTTCTCTGGAGTGACGAGTCACGTTCTGAGCTGGGTAACGATGCTCCCAAACACTGTCTTGGTAGATCAGGAGAGAAATTCAAACCAGAATGGATGTCGACCACTGTGAGACATAGTGGAGGCGGGATTAATGGTAAGGGTATGTGAAAAGTCCATTAATACAAAGGAGTACCAAAAGAGTTGCTTCCAAGCTTAAACACATTGTGTAGTGGAAATAACAGACAAGACGCCTTTTTCCAACAAGATATTGCACCAGCACATACAACAAAAACAACAAAGTCATGGTTGGAGTGCCATTCACTGACAGTGATGTTTTGGCCTGGTCAGCCACCAGATCTTAACCCCATAGAGAATATATGGGGGCATATCAAGGCCAAACTTGGCAGAAAATTCAGGAGCAATGACCAGCTGTGGGAAGCAGTCAAACCAGAATGGAACAGTATTGCTGCAGTACACTGCAAAAGGCTGTCAGACAGGAATGGAACATTATTGCTGCAGTACATTGCAAAAGGCTGCCAGACAGGGATGGAACATTATTGCTGCAGCACATTGCAAAAGGCTGCCAGACAGGAATGGAACAGTATTGCTTGCCCAAAAGGCTGAGTTTTTTTAAAAGAAAAACAAGGGAACAGCCTAAAATACTAAAACTTAACATTCACCATTTATAAACAGTTAGCCAACAAGCACGTTATCCGTATGTTATCATTAAGGTATCGGATAGGCGCAATGGCTAATAATACAATATAGTTAATGTGGGAACAATGCAAAAACGTAAAACAAAAATGTGTCCTGTAAAATCTTGTAAAATGTGCTAAACGCCCAGTCATACTATAAAAAAATACCGTCGTATACCGTGAACTTTGAAAAATACCGTGATATAAATTTTAGGTCATACTGCCCAGCTCTACTAGATATATACAATATTGTGTTACATGGTTGCATTTGTATTTGTTCAAATAAAAATAGTACGTATAGAAACGGTGTTAAGCCGTTTGCCTCATTTTCTTGCCCAGCAGCGTAAACAGCTATAAAACATCGACTTACACGTCGGCAGTATTTTGAGGATGACGACCAGGTCGGCCACGTTATGTCCCGTCGTCATGGTGCCCTTCTTGTAAGAGCCCACCTGACGCACTTCTTCTATTTGCTGGGAAAAAGAGAGAATCGGGAGCGATGAGATGGGCAGTGCCGTCGGCTGACGCTTAAAAGTGGTAATAAAGGTAACGCTTAGAGATGCAGCTTTTGAAAACACCAGTCCATTTGTTGCCAGCGACCTGAGGACGGCACAGAAGCACGCACCACTTCAAAGTTCCCTGGGGCCACGATGAGATTGTCGATGACATTGTTGATCTTTGTTACCAGAGACAAGATGGAGGACTGGAATGGAAGAGGACAGCTGTATTATAAACCTTTTTAGATACAGAATCTAACAAAACGTATGTATATGTACACATGTAGTAAACTGGATATCATGACTTTTACCATTGGTTGGCATACTAATAGTATCTCGGGCACTTGTACTGAGGACAGCAAAAAAAGCCTGCAAATAAGGTCAGGGACTCTGGTACCTGCTCAGAAGGTGTGGGGCTCAGATCCTGGTTCCTCTTCAGCAAACATTCACTGAAGGAAGTTTCATCTGGTGCGGGTTTCACGCGGGGAAAGGCCATTTCACACTGAAGAAACGCACAGGTCAGCCAGTGTCTCAAAAGGTAATTTACTCAAATGCTGAAACAAAGGCCAGCATCGTCTTTGCTTTCCATAATGTAATGGCCATCACATTCACACGCAAATGGCCCTTGGTTCGAACGACAGTGGAAATACAATTGTGTTTTACCACTTTACAAAGCTGAAAGGTCTGGAAAGCAACTGAGAGGCTCAGAATGAGCTTGCAACCCTCAGGCCATCAGATAACTAAATACCTCCATGACAATCATAATTTAATACTTGCTCCTTACACATGCACCACATGCTTTATTTGAACTATGTTGCACATCTCTGGTATTTCAGTTGTTCCTGTTCCTTATTTATTGTATCGCTACGTTTTCAGTTTTATCCTGAAAAAAAAAAAACTCAGTTTTTACTTCACAGAGAATACTGAAACTTTAAAGCTGCGATGTCATCAAACTGAATCTCATTTATTCCTGTTAGTGTTTCTGTTGCGGCAGAGTTGACATTTTATTTCTCTGCAGGATACAGTCAGATTGTGTATCTGGTATATGACAAATAAAAATCCTTGAATTGCTTTAATCCAGGAGGTTTCTGGAGGTGCTGCTCCAGCCCCATTCACCACTGGAAACCAGAGGTGGAGATTTCAGGCCCAGAGAGTACAAATCCAGAACAAGATTTTGTTTCAACCAAGCAGTTGAGAATAAAGAGTCACAGTCACAGAGTACTCAAGTAGTTGGTTGAAACAAAACCTTGGTCTGGATTTGTACTCTCTGGAGCCGAAATATCCACCTCTGCTTGAAACCATACATGCCAGATGGAAAGTAATTACCATCCTTCTTCACTGGATCCCTCATACTGGCAGTATTACCATAACTCTCGCCCAGCGTTGAACTAGGAAAGCAATGGGCATCTGGCAACCATTCTACCGCTGACAAAGAGGTACATCTACCAGATCATGTAGCTTTACTTCACAGAGAATACTGAAACTTCATGTCATCAATCGGAAAGAAAATTTCTGAGACTCAAGCAGGCTAGCAGCGTAATCAAGGCACTGACAGTTTAACTAAGAAAACACATTATGATGATGTTTGGTGGGAGAGCGTATATCAGCACAGTATTTAGATAATGTGCGCAAGAAAAATTATTTTAATAAATAAATATCACTACAAATTGTATACAAGATTAATTACCTAATTATTCAAACGCAATCAGTACACTGCGATGCAAGACAAACACACAAACTACAATTGGTTGTGCAAGTATGGGTCTAAATGATGTAGCAGGAGTGTAATAAAACCAGACGCATTTGGAAATCTGTTCACAAGCACTCACCACATAGAAGTCAAATGGGATGTGTGGGACAAACGGGCGATACCTGCAACAAAGGGAGTAAATGAACAAACAAAACTGTGCCACTTAGAAACAGACAAACTTCGACACACAAGAAAACAACTATTTTTTTTGCCAATAAAGTGTCTCTAAACTAATAGATCAAAACTATACAAAAATGTGCACAGAAACCTCAGTTAGCACAAGACACACTGAATACCGTTTGTTTATGCTACACTGTGTCACATTAATTGTTTTATCTAGTAAATCATTGTCAAGATATTATTCTTGCGACTCGTTGCTGTATTCCGTCCTTATTGTTGCATCACATGTATATTGACAGATTATCTTTCTCTGCACTCAATCAAACTACAACCTCACTTACCCCTGAGCGAGTCCTCCTCGGGACCCGAACCGGCCACCCCGGCCCCGGCCCCGATCGCCTCTAGGAGAAAAAAATAATCATGTTTTATACGTCATTCTGAATTTCAGCGCAGGAAGACTGACAACTACGTGCGATTGGAGTCCCAACAGAAACCCCATCACAAGTCAAACAGGAAAGCAGGAGCACCGCAAAGCAGCCGCTTCATGCAACCGACAGCAGCCGCTCAAAATAGCAGGAGCCCCAGACCACGTATGTTCACAGGTACACTAAATACCACCGTAATAAAACTTTCGGTTAAATGTACTATTATGTAGGAATTATAAATGAAGTATTGCTAATTGCTTTTCAAAGATAACGAGCAACATTTGAGAATGATATTACTAAAATTGCATAGCTACAGAAATTTCAGTACAGCTACGACGAATATACAGCTTTCTGATTATGGCGAGCAATAGTCTGAATAGATGGCCATTTCATAAACAGTACCACATGCATGGGCTGGATGCTTTGTTAAGTCAGATACAGCACACAGCAGCACAGGCCGCACACATTGTAATTCAATAAAACGTCCGGTTTTTAAGAAATTAGCTACCTCGTGTCAGCATTTTCACTACATCTAATACATGTGGTTGTCACTAAACGATAGATTAACGAAATCCCCCGTCCTGAATTCCAAAACCTGCGACCGTGGCTGGAAGCAGCGAGGCAGCCTTACGCTTAAATGCCGACCGGCATCATATAAATCAGGGCAGAATTCACTCGAGATCCCAGGCTGAAGGCCTAGGACGGCTGAATAAGCCTGTCATCTTCTGTTTACGTTTGTAATTTCAATTGCATGCATTCCTAACGTACAACGGATACTTCAAAGTTACCTCATAGCGTACGACGTTTTGAAAATTTAGAAAAACCTAAAAAGGAGAAATGTGTTATTTTCCCTGTTTAATCCTTTTCGGTCCCCCCGTTGCATTAGTGTCCGTTGGCAACCGCTGAGCCTCTCGGTTAGGTGCCAGAAAACCAATGAGAAACGAAGAAGGCACCGGTATGGATTTTTGATTGGGTGTCTGTTCTGAAGGCGGGGAAATGAGAGCAAGAGCCAAATCGGAATGAATGAACTACAGAGAAAAAATATTGTACCCCTAGATGGCACTTTACTAGCAACGTACGATGTACATAAAGCGTAAAATATTGTAGGCTAATACTGGGTCGTAGCGCCGGTACCTCCACGCAACAATATGTATATGTAATTGAAACATGAATTTAAACATACAACTGTAAGACTGTAATATACGAGTAAACAGTACATTGTTACTACGTGAAAGCTATGTCTAATTTACACAAAACACATTGGTAATTGTAAAGTACAATGAATGTCTTTACCACACATGACAGAACATAGTGTATGTATCAATTGATCCATTTATCTGTGGAAGAAAAATTATAAATCAACCCCTCTAATAACTCTAGTTAAGCCACTTAGAATAAAACTCCGGACCTCTCAGTTGGTGAGCAAAATTATCTCCTTTATTCAGGCAATCCAGCAAAGCACTCCAGTCACACTTTGGTACCAGGAACCCCCAGCAGAAAGAGCAACCAGTAGATAAACCATAACACCCAATTCCCTATAAGGACATCTACAGTAAGTCCTGATTGGTTGCAAAATACCAACAAACCAAGATCAAACATACAACAAACACAATTCTCCTGCTCTATTGGTTCACCTTGGCTGCAGCGTACATGCACCCATTTTATGGCTATGAATATTGATTTACTGTAAATACATGGCTAACATATGATTAATATGATAACTACTTATACATTTGTAATACAACATATTGTGTACGACCTATTGTGACTACTTTATAACTACATCTCTCTGCACCAGTTGGGGCAGCTTCGAATCCCTTCCTGCTGGTGGTTTCTCTCCCCCCCCCCCCACTGCCCGTCTCTCCAAGGTGTTCAAGGCCTGTGAGACTGACCATATGCAGGCTACCATGAGACAAGGACACACGGTATTCAAAACAATCTCTTCTCGCCTAAGGCCTAAGACATAACACACCCAATATGCCTCCCCTCCCAGGCCTACCGATGTCCAATTTTCTTCCCACACTGGAGATATTTCCCTGTGGTGTGCTATGCCTTCCACCATCAGGGACATATCGCCAGCCAGTGTCCCAACCAGGGTGAAGAAAGCCCTGGATGGCCCACCGCGGGGGACAGGTGGTGAAGAGGGTCAGTTCATCGCCTTAACTTGGCCCCTAGCAGGTGACCCATTGCTTAAACTGAGAGTGGAGGGAAAGGAAATCCCTTTGATTGTTGATATGGGAGCTAGAAGGTTAACAATCAGAGAAGAAGAGTCAGGAGTCCCCAACACTGGCAGAACTGTAAAAATAATTGGTACCTGGGGAATCCACAAATTCTTAGAGGAAACAGAGCCTTTGTTAGTGGAGCGAAGCCAAGGGGCCAGCACCAGTCCCTAATTTCACCCCATTGCCCTGTCAACCTGCTGGGAAGGGACTTAATGGGGAAATTGGAGATCAAGGTGGAAGTGGGGGAAGACAGTTTCACAGTGACTTTGGAGGATTTGTGACTGTGGTGCTTATCGGAGGAAGAAAACCTTGAGGCTTGGTGGCTGTCGGACGACACGATCCTGAGAGACTGTATCTCTGAAGGAGGGGAACAACCTGAAAGATTGCATTTTGGAAAAGGAGGGGCTGAGTGGATAAAGGAGTTTGAGGGAGAGGGAGAACTGGGAGAGAGTGTCGTGCTTGATTAGTTTTACGTGGCAGAGGACAGATCTGCTGCGTCTGTCAGTTTGTCAGCTAACCAGGAGGAGTGGTATGGAGGAGTGGTATGAGTGGTATGAGTGGTATGGAGGAGTATGGAGTGGTATGGAGGAGTGGTATGTGGGAGGGTCAGTCCCTCGTGTCGTATGGGAAAAAGGGGTCATTGGAGTGGAAGGATTTAGGGCCTTGGCTGGCGGAGAGTGAGAAAAGGAGTGAGAGGGTGGATGAGTGGAGATGGACAGGTGCAGAAGTACAAAATAGACCAGTGTGTAGAGGTAAAGAGAAAGGGGGATGCAAGAGAAGGGAAGGAGAAAGGTGACAAACCAGTTAGAGCCTTTTTGGTCACCAACAGCTCACCAGGCATCTGAGATGTTGCCACCTGTCTTATCCTGTTCCTCCTACACACATGGTCCCCAAGGCACAGATGTCTTTGGCTCTGTGTGCACATTATGGTTTATCTACTGGTTGCTTTTTGCTCAGGGTACCTGGTACCAGTGTGTGACTGGAGCGCTTTGCTTGATTGTTTGAATAAAGGAGAAAGGTTCTGAGTTTTATTCTAAGTGGTTTAACTAGTTATAAGAGGGGTTGATTTATAATTTTTCTTCCACAATTCATCCATCCACCTGTCTTCCAATCACTTTAGTACACAGTCATGTGTACATGAAAACATGCACCCCCCCCCACACACACACACAAATCCCAGTCCCTGGATGTTTGAGGCAAGTGTGTTAGTACCTAATCCCCCTACTTAGGGGACGTGACACAAAAACTCAGCTTCCCCATTAATACCCAATGGTGGGAATGGAATTTGGCTTCATTTACAATTCAGGCTCAGTGTCAGTGGCAGAAAATTGAATTGAAATAGTCTGCAACAGCCACTCAAACCCAAGACAGACAAGAAAATATGCAATTATTGTCTAAACGTATGAAAACATGGATTATCACTGGAGCAATTTTGATGAAATGAATGATGTAACCATCTGAAATGTTTGTCTTTTATTGAAACCAAGCAGAACAAACAATTCAATACAAAATGAAATGCATTTTCTGCAAAATACAAAAACAGAAGTCAATCACATTCCCCCTCCATCTTGCATTCTGGTAAAATAATTACTCTGTAGTCTGGGGGGACTGATAGTTGCATTAAGAGAAATGCTACATCAGGTCAATAAAACTGATGCAGCATCTTATAGAAAATTACCTGTTAACTTGAACAGTACATGATTGTTTCAAGAGAGTGATCATTCCAAAATGATTCCAGAACCTTAGCATTAGTATCAACTTGCTTGGTATTCGTCAGGTTTGCAGAAATGGTTTATAGTTTTCTTCACCAGCAGTTTGCACGTGTACGAGTGGGCAAGCACCACCTTCCTTGATACAAAACAAAATCTCAAAAAGCTTTTAAAAATCATAAATATTAAAAGGATACCAAGTGAACCAGAAAAGCCAGCATAAAAAAAAAAAAGTACCTGGACTCGGGTCTAAAAAGACCCAATTCTGTAAGCCAAAGGTTTTGTATATTTAAAAGCAAGACTACATCCTTCTAGACCTTTCTTTAGAAGAAACACATTTAACTATAGTCAATAATAATTTCTTGATGTTTCTCCCATTCTGTAAAAACATCCCTTAACAGCATAGATAATGTTTTGAATTAGAAAAAATAAAAATAAATTAGAGAGAGCGAGAGAGAGAGAGATCAACAGCCTGGCCAGTTTGCAGGCCATAGCACCCCTCTTTGACCAGGAAGCTGATCTAACTAATTCAGAATGGCCGCTTCCTGTAGCAGCATGCTCCTCTGCAAGGTCCCCATTCAGGTGCAGTTAGTTGCTGCCGCAGGCCATTCGATGTCAGATCAGGCGGCAGCAACCAAGCAGGTGCCAGTCTGGGTCACCAGTCTGACCACACACACGCACGCACACACACGCGCACACACGCGCACACACACACACAGTTCCTGTGTCGGCCACGCAGGGGATCTTCGTTTGGCGACGTCTCCATCTACTCCATGCCCTCAGGGTCGGCCTGAGCCATGTAGGCATCCAGCTCGGCATCCAGGTGCCCTTTGGTCTTTGACATGTAGGCATCTAGCTGGTTGTCCAGTTGCTCTCGAGTGACCACGGGGCGGCTGGCCCCCCTTCCCCGTCCCCGACCCCGGCCCTGACCCCCAAACCCACCACGACCCCTCACAGTCACACCACCACGGCCTGCAGAGGGAGAAATGGAAGAGTCAGATGCGGCAACCAGAAAAATCACAAAACAAAATGCTTTCCATTATTACTATATTCAACTCTACGATTGTTGAGATGATTCTAATAATAATAATAATAATAAGTTGTCTTGTGCTGAACATTTATTTGGGTTTGTGCTGTGCTTTAGGAATCACAATGGAAAGAAAGATTCTCTCTCTCCCTCGTCAAAATCTACCACATGCAGGTTAGACAGCATTTCCAAAACTGTCGGTCCACTTTGTATATCAATCTAATACAGCAAGTAGCTCTCACTGTTTGTCTGAAATGACAGAGACCTAAAACATCTTCACCTTTTTCTCCCAGGCTACCGTAAGCTCCTCGGCCCCTAAAGGTCCCGCCACGACTGAACACGCTCCCACGCTGCCTCAGCCCGCGATGCAGTCCCAGGCGTGTTGCAGTGCCCCAGCCACGAATCTGGCCTGCTCCTGCAAGAGGAAGAATTGTGTGAAAGAGAGGGAGGGAGAGAGAGAATCTCTTTCCATTGTGATTCCTAAAGCACAGCACAAACCCAAATAAAATGTTCAGCACAAGACAACTTTACCAGCAGCTAAAAAAAGTCAAAAGCACAATCACAAGTTATACATGCTCTACACTGAATGTATAATTACCACTTAACTGATGTCCAGTACTGTTTGTTCCTATGCACAAGTGGATCACCGGTGTGCCCTTACCCCCCCCCCCCAAAGATATTTTCCAGAGCCATAAACATTGTAAAGGACCCATCCCACCCTCCACACGGACTCTTTTCCCTCCTACCATCTGGAAAACGGCATCGAAGCTTCTACTCCGCCTCTACCAGGCTGTGCAACAGCTCCATACCACAAGCCGTCAGAAACCTGAACACACACTGATATCTGGACTGTCTAAATTCCTCTAAACTGCATATACATACTAACCCTAAATTGCAAATACATACTAACCCTAAACTGCATATACATACTACCTCTAAACTGCATATACATACTACCTCTAAACTGCATATACATACTACCTCTAACTGCAACAGCACTTTACTTACGAAGTTTACATCTCTGCACTATTTATTTACTGCCTGTTTGCACCTTGCACGCCCTGTTACTGTGATGTTATGTGTACTATACATTACACTGGGGCCATGGAGAAATGTTTCATCACTGTTTGTACATGTATGAAGCTGCTGACAAAGTAACCTTCAACCTCCTGGAAGATGGACAAAAAAAACGAAGGAGGTATGAAAGCAGGCACCACATTTTTGTTTACGTGGAGGCTTTTGATTGACTGATCACTGAAACAAAGACATTGATCCCTCAGCCTGGCACATGTAGGTACAGCCAGAATCGCGGGTCCCACACACACCTCTTGGGGACAGGGTCCCCCCAAAGTTTGCTCCGCGGGCCCCCCGGCCTCGCAGTCCTCCGCGGCTCATCCCTCGCAGTCCTGCCAGCGCAAAACCACGCCCGCCCTGGACGCCCCTCAGCGCCCCCACGGGCTTCCCCAGCCGGGCCTGGATGTTGCTCTTCCCCAGTCGCTGTTTAAGGCTCTGGAGCACAGAGGGGGAGAGGATCGACGTCTCAAAACTCATCCGAGGCCCTTCGGTTATGTCCGTACCCCAGACCGGTCATTTGATCAACCTGACATCACATGAATACCACGCCCTCCAGCTGCATGGAGATAGAGAGAGATTGAACACAGACACTCTAAATATTGACTCAATTTGGGCACGTCTGACGAGAACAAGACGATACTCAATACCCTAAGACAGCACCTCTCAAAGTGGAGAGGCAAAGAGCTCCAACGCTCGCCCGACTCATCCAGGCTGATCTGCCCTCCGGTCAGATTTACCTCAGACGACAAGGAGCAGAACCGTCTAAATTAGCAGGGACAAGACCCACCCAAATAACTACCACTCTACCTGGCTAAGATCTGGCAGGCACTCCTGCTGAGTGAGAACTGAGAGGTTCAGAAGGCCCTCTGCAGGTTACTAAACATTTAACCGATGGTTATAATTTAACATTTGCTCCTTATTTATGCAACTCACACTTAATTTGTAGTATTGCACATCTCTACACCATTTTCCAGTATAACTCTGATCTGCTGCGTCTATTATATTCATTACATTGTTACCTTTCTGTCTTATTGACTTCAACTATTTTTATTACGGTGGAGTTGACTGCCTTGCATTTCACTGCCGGATATAGAATGACTGCATGCCTTGCACGTGACACATAAACCCTTTGAATGGAACCACAGGCGAGCTGGCATCTGTGTCCCCACCTGTTTGTGCTGCAGGGCTGCCTGGACCGAGGGCCTGTTCTCCATCTGCTGGGCCAGCCGGCGGTTCCGGGTGCTGGCGGCACGCTGATGCTGCACGCCGGTTCTGATGCTGACTGCCGTGGGCTGCTTGTTGCTCAGCATGTTAGTGAAGCTTCGGGTTCAGAGACGGGGGGGGAGGGAGGGAGAAAGAGAGAGAGAGGAGGACAGGGAGCAGGGGTGGGGGCTTTCATGGCAAGTCGTCCAAACACACCACACACCCCTGGGCATCCAGCGGCAAGAAAACAAGTCATGCCCCACAGTCTTCAATCCTCCCCCAAAATACAACTGATGATTTTTGTGACGAGAAAAAGTAGTAAAGTCAATAAATGGCAAAGCAGAAGATGGATAAAAGCCAGACGCAAGAGGGACGTGGTGAAGGAGCAGATCGATGGCGTGATCAGAGACACAGAATGATCAGGGTGAAGGGAGCGAGAGAGCGCCACTTACAGGCCACCTGTTCCCCTTACACCACCAGGCAGGTCCTCCAAAAACAATTAGGGGGGAGGTGGCCCCGGGCTTCAAATATATCCAACTGCCCAGCCTCTTACAGCCCAAACCGCACCTGTGCCGAGGGGAAAGGCAGCGACCCCCTGTCATGTGACAGAGGAGGCCTGGGAGGGCATGTCTAGGTCAGGACTGGGCATCCGTTTGCAGATGACGCAGATACAGGAAGGAAGATAGGTGGGGGGGACGGGATCCGAAGGAGCTGGGAGGGGACAGTGTGTATGGCCTTGCTCAGTCCTCCCCCCGCTTCCGGCACTAAGAGGCAGCAGTGCAGCTCATTCCAGCCTCCTGACAGGACCTGACGCCATTCGGCGTGGGGGGGCAGGGGGCCCAAGGCGGCCGGGTTTATCAAAAAACCGTTTCTGAAGAGCCACCACACTTGGTAACACACCCCCTCCCCATGTTACTCTTCTCCCCCTCCATCTACAAAACTGTTCCCAACCTGAGGCTCATTTTGCCGACTTTTTGATTTTTCCAATCTTCTCTCACCCCCCCCCACCCCCCCCCACCCCACCCCACCCCATGCCAGCACTTGATCTTGCCATCTACGTATAACAGCCTTGTCACTGGGCCTCACCGCTCATTCAGGGACAGCTTGGTGGTGCTTCTCAGTACAACATTCTGAGAGGAGGCAGCACTCATTTTGTCTTCTGTGTGCTGGCACGCTCCTAGGACAGACAGGCACAGAGGGTAAGAGGCACGGTAACTATGGTGACTAAGGTTAGTACAGTAAGTGTTCACATAATGTTAGGCAAGTACAAGAATTCAGTAATGGACCAACGTAGGTTAAAATGAATAAACTAAACTTAATTGCAAATTAATCAAACGAAGCAAGTTGACTTAATGAAGAATATTCTATAGTTAAAAACCACACTGCCAAAAAGAGGACCTACATCTTATGAAAACTGTACAACTTAAAAAAATAACGAGATTTTTTTTATTATGCTTCGCAGCGGGTCGCCAGTAGCTGTGCAGATGTCGGCTGGCAATTTGGCTTCTCAGCTAACAATGAACTCTTCTTGGTCACCCATCTATTTTACGAACAAATTCATATCCAATTCCAAACGGAGGTGTCATTCGCGTTTTAATACAACACTGACCACAACGCTTACATTAAAATACCAGGAAAACATCACTGTACGAACAAAAACTAGCCGGCTAGGCAATCAGTTGGCGTTAGTTAGTTACTTACCGTTTTCTATGCTGCAGAAGTCGCGTGCTCAATCAGCAAATTACCAGGCAGGCAAAACCTTAACTGATCTGCGTTCAAGTTACGTGTTTATCCCTTAATTTTTGTGTCCTTAGACACTTCCCCAGACAAACACTCCCTGACTAATGCGACTTAATTTAACGCATAAAAGCTTTTGAGTGGTAATTCCAACAACTTATCATGCCCTACCTTCTGGAAAACGAAATGGTGGTCAAGAAAAGATACAATATGGGTGGAATGAATGGTATAAATAGTGCTGCGTCGAATCTCGCGAGAGTTGACGTAACGTCCCGGAAGTAGTGATAGGTCACGCCGGTGGATTCTGTGGTGCAAGTAATGGTGTACAGCAGCTCTTGGGGGCTTTCCAGATAACACCAGGGGATGGCTGGTAGCATCTAAAGTACTAACAGAATTAACATATGCACCATCAGTTACAATGCAGCAGATTATCCTCTAGTAAAGCAGATTTTATGCTGTGAATGAGACACAGACCAGACTGGAATTATAACCAGGGCCAATAGGCAGAGGTTAAACCAGCTTGCCAGCCTATTAAATTTAGTCTCAGACGTGGCGCTGCAGCAGTGATGTTCACCTCCGGTCCCATAAAGAGTTTAACTAAACAGATTAAATATGCAACTGGGCAATACAAGAGCAGGTCTGGTATAGGGTGGGCGATAGAGTCCTTTGGAAAGGCTGTTGTGGGGTGTTTGGGTGGAAGAGTTTACATAGTCCATCTTCGGCTTTCTTCCTTCCTCTTTGCAATATTCTGAAAATTGTGTGGATGCTTCTCTTTTTCCCAGCCTTGGTTGGCCAAGCTTGTCATCGGCTGGGCCATGCCGGCCCCCCATTGAGCCAGACCTGCGTAAGAATTTCCTGAGAAAGGACAGCAAATAAAACCCCTCAGCATGGGGACTTGGTAGCAAGTAACAGACTTATTACAAAGTTATCTCTTTCCGGGGGGGGGAGGGGTGGAATGGGAATAGAGCCAATATGAGGCGTGACCCTAAGCATAAAATCCGGGAGCAGGGTTAACCAAAACAACAGAGTAAAAGAAACACAGGACTGGTGTTTTGGGGGGCGACCAGGAAATCAAACGTATGTGTGGAGATTACAGGTTTTGGGACAGGAATCAGCCTGCAGTTTCTGGTTACTGGAAGCAGAACAAGCAGAACACAAACGTATATGTATGGTGTGACACAACAGGCAGGTGGAGCTGATCAGCTGGTATAAACCCAGTTACCTAAATCTCCTTTGAGGCCCATGGTGGCCACCTCCCATCCCAGGAGGCTGCGGTTTTGTCATTTTTTTAAGAAAAGGGAGACAAAAATAAGCCTATAATTAAGTATTTATTTACGGGCTTAAGACTGCGTTCTTAGGTGGATATTTGACCTCGGCCCTTTGAAAGAATTAGGAACCAGGCCTGACAATTGGAGACAGTTAACCCTTTTTAAATGTGCTCCATGAATGCACTTAGAATATCTTTAATAATTTCTACATTAAATATAACTGGAATCTGTGTTAAGCAACTTTTAGGCAGCAAACTGTGTTTTTAATTAGCCCCAGTATGTTTGCTACATTTCAGGTAAGAACAAATCGAAATGCCTGTTTGAAACCAAAGGAATGTGTTTCCTGCTCTTTCATAGACTGCCAGGCGTAAAAGGCAGAATCCCATCGACAACATCATTATACTCATACTCCAAACATTAAGTACATAGGATAAGCTAAGCACTAAAAACCTCTCTTTCCACGTCACACACCTTTTAACAACTATGCCTGTGTGTCAGTTTGTCAATGATCAAAATGAAAGATAATTAGAAATGATACAAACTAAGCTTGTGACATAATATCATATCTTATTCAGACATTGGCAAATTGCCATTTGGCACAGACAAAAAATAGGGTATTCAAATTATTCAAGTTATTGCATGAGCAGTAGAAAATCTGATTAAAAAATTGTAATGGGTAAGAATACACCACCCATGGCTGGGAGAAAATGCTTTTTGCCATCAGCAAGTATAATTAATAATCAGCTTGATGAACTTGTAAGGTTTTATAGTGAATTTTATATGCATTCCACTTCCCTCTCTAGTAAAGCAATGTTTCTGACAGAGGCTGTGATGTTGTCAAGGAAACTGCACGTAGAAAGACAATGCTGGAGACATCCACTCCTCAAACACTGCACTGAGTCAGGATCATGCCGATAAAATGCACACTGCTAAGGAAGAGACAATCTTGATCTTGTATTTTGAATATTGAATCTTGACAACAATGTTGATAATGGTGGCTTCTGCACTGGTGCATTCCTACAGGTGTACCAAATCAGCCATGTTTGGGCAGGACTCCACCTTCTATAATAAGCTATGTAAACACATTGCATACGACGTACAGTCAGGGGCACCGCTAAAGATTTTTGGGCCAATGAATGCATATCAAATTGGGGCCTCAACCCAGACCAATTCAATTATGATTGAAAATTTTTAGGGCCCCTATCACTCAGGGGCCCTTGGAATCGTCCTAACTCCCCCACCCACTTTATGGCTCCCTTGTATACAGTAATTAACAGTGGATGGATCCAATGTAACAGAAGGGATATGAATTTTAAACACATATTTAACTCGCATATTGAATTAATGCAACCTTGCGCTAATGCTCTTCAGTAAACATGAATTACAGTGGTAGCTATGTATGAGTTTCCAATGCAGAGTTTAATATGGTAATACTATGATCAATCAGAAAGTATTCAAACAAGTATACTGTATATGATATCATATACATAGATTCATAATTCACAAGGACTGCAATTTCTATATTTGGCCACATGGCGGGGCCATTCCTCTTTTTGATTAAAACCATGAACAGGCCTGACTTGGTCTGGTCTGAGGATTCTTTTTGCCTTTGTATATGCTAACATTACTTATACAAAATATATTAAATGCTGCAATTTCTATGCTTATCTAAAGAGTTTTATAAAGTACAAATGTACAATCTCTTCTGTGTGAAAGTGGCTGTTCTTCTCATTTTGGCACAATTTTGTTCCATATGGAAATATTTGGTGCAATATATGAGCATATATGTTTTATTACTCAAGATGGAAATGTGCTTGTATATCGTGGCATTGCAGCACATTCTAGAGAGCGAGTGAAGTTTAGATATTTTGAGATGGAAGATAACTGTTGTTAGACGTAAAAGCAAATGCCACATTGAACTCAATAAGACAATATGAGAAGGCCACCTAAATGCTTCATTGAATTTATTTTATTTGCTGAGATCATAAAGAGACTCATAAGGTAGGGCATGATAATTCCGATGATTGCATCAGTTTATTATGTAGTAGATGGATTTGGTATTTGGTTATATACTTGTGTGTGCATATATATATATAAAATATGTGTGTGTGTGTGTGTAGATGTATATTTATATAGCTGTAAAGACCTTTGTATATGATGATATGTATTGTAGATTTCATTTTTTTGTACAGTAGATGTTATGGTCTTAGTAAGACAGCAGAATTACTCCTAGGCATATCTTTTAAGCATTACGTTTTGGCACTCTCTGCCTGCATTGACAAGAATCTTCTGTGTAACCACACTCTCCTGTGGGATTAGGCTTAAGTAAGATGTAGAAGGCTGATGGGAGTCAGGTTCAAGTGTTGAGACTGGTTCCTAAAGCCTGATAAATCTTAGCAGTTCACTGCTTGATGTTAATCAGGGCAAATGGTATTCTGCTTGAATTAGATTTTCGTGCTGATTGGGCAGAGGGTGACTTTGGTTGATATAGTTTGTGGTTTGTCTTGGAATTGCGTTTTTATTGTGTGATAGCAGTAAACACTAGCAAGAGTGATACGAGTTATTCTCTGGTAGTCAAAGATATGACATTTATGTACATAGGAAACTGCTCTGAATCTGTTTTCCTCTCTACCTGTGGCCCCCATCATTACCAAAGCCTCGCTTGAAACAGGATCTACTGCTAATGTTATCCCCATTTTGCCAGTTTGGCATTCAGGATTAGCTGAATTTCATATTTTAAAACGCAGTGTTAGTGCAATACTGCATATTTCTAATTTCTACTGATAAATAGTAGCAGCTGTATAGATTAAAATGGTTTCATCGAAGGTAATGATTCAAGTGAGTTTTCTTAAGACTCCCCAAAACAACATTTATGTGCACTATTTGTATTCCAAATCATTTTTAGATGTCAGCTACTTTAACTTGACCTAATTCCAAATACACGTATATTATTGCCGGAAAGCTGGTAAGTTTTATTCTGCCGTGACATATGCAGAGAGGAAATGGTTAAATTGAGGGGTATAGAAGGATCCCCCAGCCAGAGCTGTCGTCACTTTTTTTCGGTCAACAGTGGAACAAGAGTAGGACAGACTGGGGTGGGGGGGGGAGAAAATAGGGGGCGGAGTAATCTTGGCGGCGCCACCTTGAAAAAACAGCCGCGCCGACCTGTCAATCTCCATGCGACCCAGACAGACCTCAGCCCCGCGGCTAGCGCTGAGAGCCGCGTCATTGTTGGCTGGCGTCCGCTATTCCCGATGTCTCGAGCGTCGCCATTGGCCGGGCCGGGCGAGACGCTCGCGCTCACGTCTCCCCCGCCCCCCTCCTTTTTGTTATTGTAGTGAGCGAGAGTTGAGGCTTCGCGAGCAGCAGGATGTGCGCGCGGAGACAGAGAGGCTGATTGACTGATAGCGGCCGAGATAGACGGAGACAGACGCGGTCATTAGTCGCGGAAGAGCGGGAGGGAGACAGAGGCCAAGGGGGAGAAAACATTCGGAACTGTGATCCATCCGCTGCGCTCGCCCTTAGTTGCCCGTTCTCCTGTTCATGTGTAAGTACTCTTACTCATCTCTTTATTTTTTTTTTTCGTCCGGTTTTCCATTATGAAACCCGACAGGCGGCTTCGGTGCGCCACGAAGGGGGATCCGTAGTTAGGGGGGGTTCGCTAGCTCGATCGCTTCACTCATCAATCCGTCTGTCCATCACCGCCGGACCAGCGCCGCATATGTATGGTAATAATGAGCAATAATTCTTAAGTCTGATTGGCTTTGAGAAATATTTGGCAGTAGATGTGTAGTTTGCCAGGTAGCACCTCCGATACCTAACTCAGACCTTCTTTTCGAGCGTGAGAGGAGTGTGGTCGGCATAAATCCTTATTGCATGGAATCGGTCACCTACTGTATTTACATCCGATTTTGCCTGATTTCAGGTCGGAACCATCGCCAGAACGCTCCTT